ATTAAATTTTAATAATTAATCTAAATTTATTAAAGAAAATATTAGTTTTACTTAATATTTTTTTTGTGAAATTAAAAAATATAATCTTATATATTTTTAATCCAATAAAATTAATAAAAGGAATAAATTTTTTGAAATTGGAGCAATTGCCAACTGTGCAGTTCCGTCGCTTGCAATCGGAAAACGAAGAGAGCGATAGCTCCCATGGCGATGATAGTGCACGGTTCGTACTTTCTATTTCAAACAAATCGTAATGCATAGGGTTTTCTTTAAATTCTGGTGGGAAACTGGTAGGGTTTTGTAGAATTGAACTTAGGATCAAAGCAATTTCCCCAAAAATGAACTTAGGGTTTTCATTTGTATGATTCAAAATTATACTGCTGTGTGCTTTTAGTTTGCAATTTTTCTTTTAAGCTTTTTCTTCAATGTATATACATTTTTAATTATTTTACTGATTTTGTTTTGTATCTGATGTTGCAAATTGGTGTTCTGGGGTTGTTCATGTCTTTACATTGTAAGTTGGAAACTAAACTTTGAGCTTTGTTTTATGATTGCGATTATCTAGCAGATTAAGGCTAATTAACTTTTAACCTTTTTGTTTTTTTGGACGTGTAGCCTTGTTGGGTTGGCTTTTATGTTTTCGGCTAGCATTTTACTACAGATTCTGGTATGTGTTTAGCGATGAGACTGATTGTGCTTCTTTTATATACTTGAAATGAATTGAGTGATGTCTATTTGCTGGCTTTTTTCCACTTCATGATTGTGTTTCCTCCAAATTATGTTTGTTAAATTTTATTATCTATGAATATTTTTGGATTAGGCTGTTGAATTTTGATTTGTTTTCGCACTGATCAGGTATGTAGTTGTTCCAAAACTTGTGATGCTAATTTTAATTCTATGAACGATAGTTGGGGTTTTGTCATATGTTTTTGACATTATCGAGGTCGAAGTGTCTGTGTTGTGTCCCGGTGTCTGTGTTGGAGTTCATGCATGTTTTTGACATTATGGGTGTTGGAGTGCATGTGTTATGTCTTAATGTTGTTGGAGTCCGTGCTTCATGTTTTGCATTTTGTTATTTATCCTGTTGTTGTTATTTATTGTTATGCTTAATTTTGTTGATATTTCACTTGAAAGATACAAAATTGTTCAAGCTGGAGTGGGAAGAGCCACAGAGTAGTTGTTTCAGATGTTTAAGTTGAATCTTGCTGAGAATGCGCCATATCAGGATAGAGCTAAAGCCATGTACAAATAATTGAGAAGCAATTTAATTAGGTATTGTTTGATACTGCAGAAATATAGTGCGAAACTATCAACAGACTGGATTTTTGTGGGAGCAGTACAATCAGATTAACGGAAATGGAAAAGGTGCACATCCATTTACAGGTTGGACATCACTTGCTGTGTTATCATGGCGGAATCATACGACACAATTTAGGAGGATAAACTTTCTTCTCAGTGTTCATTCACAACTACTGAGGTAATAATATATCATGCTAGGCTGTAATTAAAATATTATAAAATTTATTTATAATTTTCGCTGTGTATTAACATCTAAAAGTATCTTCTCATCTTTGAAGTATATTTCACAACCCACCCTAAGAATTTATATAATCTTTATTTGATAAATAGCCTTATGAGTTCATACTATTGTCATGCTATGATTAATATGGCTGGAAGCATTAAAAATCATGATACAAGACTCCTGGGTTGTTATTTATTGTTATGCTTAATTTTGTTGATATTTCACTTGGAAGATACTAAATTGTTCAAGCTGGAAGCGGGAAGAGCCACATAGTGGTTGTTACAAATTGGTAAAATGCCTTTGTGTGCCGCCAATAAACGTAGCTCCATCTACCATGGTGTCACTAGGTAGCTAGCTAACTACTCTTCAACAAACTAATTTTCTAGCTCCTTGTTGGGCTTAAAGTGTTTGTTAGATTTAGATTCAGTTTAGATTAGCTCCTTGTTAATGATCATATCTTAAAAGTTGCTATTAATTTCAATTTGTTATAGAAGTTTATTTCATAATTGTTAATGGCTCTTAGCTTTGTTTGATTGAATTTCGTGAATTATGTATTAAGCATAGATGGATAGGTCATTATGAAGCGCATCTTTGGGATAAAAGTACATAGAACCAAAATCAGAACAAGAAAGGAAAGCAATGTTTGGGTTGTTGAACTTAAGTCGGGTTCAAGGTTTTGTTTTATGATTAAATTGCTTACGTTTATTATTTTTGTGTTGTGTAGGTTTTGAATAGATGATATTACAACTTAGTAATACACCTTAGAGATAATAATAATGACATGTATGGAATAGAATAGTGATTAGTACACACATTCTCTTAATTATGTGGGCGCAGGTTTTGAATCTGGAATCTAGAGTAAACATTCACCTTCTTTATATTATATATCATATATCAGAAGCTTTGAATATCAAATTTGATGCACGACTTACATTATAAGACATCTTGACACATACTCAAATCCTTCATATATCATATATCATATATTTAGATGGTAAAAATTAATGCCATCACATTTATATTTGTTTTCAGTCTGAGGTTTCGTTCCTTGTTTCAGTTAATTATTAGTGTTTTCTAAAGACTCTCTTTGTTGTCTAACTCCACAGGTATTAGAGGTAACCGTTTGGCGTGAAGGGTTGGAATACACACAAACATATTCTCGCAGGAAGTCGGTGACAACTTTGAATTGTGCCAGCACCTATCAGTGGTGAATCACCGATTCGACCGCTCATTTTGTTCATTAAACCACCGGTCGATGTGGCAGCGACACACCTTCCTTCACTATCAACCACCACACATCCAACAGTCTCTGGCGTATAAACGCTTACCCTGGAAGACCAATTGCAAATGTATGCTGCAAAACCTATGGCTACATAAGCATGGCTCAAGCTGTTTCGTTCCTTAACGACTTCAAGCTCAAATATTATATGAAAATCCCTCCAAGGTCAATGTTCTTAGTGCAGGTATATTTATTTTTTCAGCTATTATAATTGTGTTTTCAAGGTTTTAGTAGCATTTACCTTTCTTATATGTTATCTAATGTATTTGTTGTGTTAAAAATTATTTAGTTCATTAGGACAATGCTTGCTGGAACTATCAACATTTGTGTAGCATGGTGGATGCTAGAATCTGTCAAAAACGTATATCTGTACTGCTTTTCTTATATATTATCTAATGTAGAAATGGTGGCAGAGATACAACTATGTTTTTCTGCAGCACTTGATGCAGGGGTGGCTTGTATGGCTGTACTGCTTTACTTTGCATTAGGATTGGAAAATATGAGTCTAAATTGGTGGGGAACTGCTGGTGAGCATTGTCCTTTGGCAATTTGTCCAACTGCCAAGGGTGACGACAATGCGTTGAGTAGAAGAATCAAAGAAGCAAAGAAAGAAACACAACAACAAAACATGATTTCTCAGTTCTTCGTCCTTTCCCAAAGAGGCGACAACATCGTCTTCCGCGACTGTCTCTGTTCATTCCCAATTTCATTTCTCACCATTCTCCATTTTTCATCATTCTCAAAACACATCACTAATTTTCACTCCCTTGAATGCAGATCGTGGTGAAGTACAAAAGGGAAGCGCTGAAACGTTTTTCCGAAAAGTCAAGTTCTGGAAAGAGGACGCTGATGGTGATGCTCCACCTGTTTTTGTAGGTATTTTGTTCAATGATTAGGAATCTGAATTGTTTGATTACAGTTAGTGGAAAAAGATCCAGGTAGAGCTATTTCCCTTTTCTGGGCTGCCATTAATGCGGGTGATCGCGTCGAGAGTGCTTTGAAGGACATGGCTTTAGTTATGAAGCAATGGAACCGGTCCGACGAGGCAATTGAAGCAATCAAGTATTTCTGCCATCTCTACCCTTCTAATTCTCAGGAATCTCTTGACAACATCTTGGTTGAATTGTATAAGGTATAAGGATTTAGACAAGTCTCTTAGTTTCTTCATATTATTCTGTCATAACTCAATTTTTGCTATGATGTCTGTAACTCAATTTTGTATATGTTGTTATAGAGATCAGGAAGAGTTGATGAAGAGATTGACATGCTTCATCACAAGTTGAAGCAAATTGAAGACGGTATGACATTTGTCGGAAGGTCGACAAAACAAGCGAGATCTCAAGGGAAGAAAATTCAAATAACCGCTGAGCAAGAGATATCGAGGATACTTGGCAACTTGGCTTGGGCTTATTTGCAAAAAGGCAACTATAAAACAGCTGAAGAACATTATAGGTGAGTCTTTTATTTGATAGAATCGAAATGCATTTATGATTTTTGTGTTTCTTTAGAGAGAAGTAATAAAAGTTCCTTATTTGTGTCTTCTAGAAAAGCACTTTCCTTTGAGGTTGATAGGAACAAACAGTACAATTTGACCATATGTTTAATGAAAATGAACAAAATTACAGAAGCAAGGTTTCCACTTCAGGCAGTAACTGCAGCAATGAAAAACAGAAAAATGGACGATTCTTTCGTCAAGTCTTTTGAACGCGCTACACAAATGCTGCAGGAAATCGAATCAACACAGTTGGTAGATAACTCAAAAATAAAGGTGTTCTGGGGTTGTTCATGTCCTTACATTGTAAGTTGGAAACTAAACTTTGAGCTTTGTTTTATGATCGCGATTATCTAGCAGATTAAGGCTAATTAACCTTTAACCTTTTTGTTTCTTTTTGGATGTGTAGCCTTGCTGGGTTGGCTTTTATGTTTTCGGCTAGCATTTTACTACAGATTTTGGTATGTGTTTAGCAATGAGACTGATTGTGCTTCTTTTATATACTTGAAATGAATTGAGTGATGTCTATTTGCTGGCTTTTTTCCACTTCATGATTGTGTTTCCTCCAAATTATGTTTGTTAAATTTTATTATCTATGAATATTTTTGGATTATGTTGTTTAATTTTGATTTGTTTTAAAGTGAATGAAAAACAATAGAAGTAATCTTCTAGGTATCATATAGTATTTATACCACACAAACTGTTTGATGCTTGTTGAAATCTCAGGTGAAAAACCTATGTATTACAGCCATCTAGTGAAACTGAAAAATCACAACATTTTCCTAAAAAGTATAATTGATGAGGAGAAATGCCAACTTGGTTGCGGACAACCTACTCAACGATGGTATGATACTGCTTTTCTCTAAACTTCAACATTACTTCAATATCTCTAGGAAAATGTAACTCACTACTTCGATTTTGCAGGTACATGACAATGCGTCTAGGTTTGCAAAATGTAAATTTTAATTATTCAAGCCATTCTACAGTATTGAAACAGACTAAATGTATTGGTATTGCATACAGTATAATACTATACGGTTAACCATTTATATACTAACCGCATCTGTTCCGTTTTTGCAGGCCTATGGCACGAAGAAAGCCTATGTTAGGTTGACTCCAGATTATGATGCATTGGATGTTGCTAGGAACATTGTGTGTGATGGTTATGAGACTATTCTTATACAACAAGTAATAAATCACGCTGACAGCGGACATTGCTAAGGTCTTCCTGCCGAGAGAGTTTGCTACAACTGCTACTAGATAGAAGTGGATCTGGTGACTGACCGTGCAAAGGAAATTGGTATTGGATTATGGGCTCTAGCATAAAATTGACAACTTCATCATGAGGAAGCTTTCATCAAAACCTATGTATTCGTAGAGTTTTCTAACTGTCACGTGTCCTAAAACTACACTCTTGTTAAGCCGACAATAGCTGCTTATACTCTTCATACACTAATCAAGTAAGTTATGGAGATAATACTTCCAAATCATAAGTTACTTTTAGAGAGAAACTTGCTGGCAATTATGATGGGAAAAAGGCCACCAAGGCTAATAAGTCCTCCCAGAGTTTGATGAACTTGCTGATGGGAGTTAAAGTCTTACAACAAGCAATTATTGATGTACTCCAGACAACTGCAACATCGTTGTAGAAAATGTTAACATTGCAAGGAGATATAGTAGATGATATACCTATTGAGGTCACTGGAGATGTTTTAAGGATTCGAAAGATTCTCACAAATTTACCTATTGAGGTCACTGCCATTAATGTAACCTACAATAGTTGTATTATGAATCCTAAATGAGTGCAGTTTTTTTTTTTAAATATTTGCAACTTGCGGCGGTTCAAACCGCCACAATATACCATAGATTTTTTAAAAAACAAATATTTGCAACTTGCAGCGGTCACAATATACTTTCACAAGCAACAATGAAAACAAAAATCATTAAGCAAGTTAAGACGGTTGAAAACCGTCACAATATGGAGATTACGACAGTTAGCTACTCGTCGTGAAAATAACAACGGTTTGTCCGACAGTTTTCACAACCGTCGCAATACGGCCTCGCGACGCACGTTTTCGCGACGAGACTGAGACCTTCGTAACTTACACATTGCGACGTTTAAAACCGTCGTAATCTATCAAAATGAACCGTCGCGATTTGCAAATCTTCTTGTAGTGAATGTTCGGACATTGTTGAAGTTATCGCAAAATGCAGAAAGAGATAAATAAACTCTCTTGTTGTTGTTGCATGCGCAATATTTATTTATTTATTTGTTGTAGAGTGTTGTGTATGTTATAAACATTTGGGCAATATTCATATAAATGATAACGAAGCATATATATGTCACTTTAAATGGCTTACAGATTTTTAGAAATTATTGATTAATTTGCATGTATGTTTGGTGGGTTCGAAATGAAGTGTTAGTTTTATAACTTTTTGTAATAACAAAGAAGGAAAAATGTGAAATGTGTAATCAATCTTTTTGGGTGTTAAAAGAGGTATGGGTGAAGTTGGAAATTTTATTTGATTGAACATATGCTGTGTATATATAATATTTAACTGGCGCGAAATCAAATTCTTTTTAATGATGAAATAGGCGATCAATATCTTATTGTGCAGAGGATTATACTCTTTTCTTGGTGGTGGTTACACAAGGACCATAAACATAATTTTAGATGTAGTTATTATGAATGGTGTAAATTTCCTTGGATATTCTTATAGTTTTAGGCCTGGGTGGTATTAGTCTGTCCTTTGGATAATCTTTACATGTTGATTGTATATGGGTTAGGATACCCCTAGTATCTCTATTTGAATCATTTTTGCTTATAAAAAAAGAATAAGATATTTAACTTCAAGAAAAAAATGAAACATCATTTGTGATATTCACAACCAATATAAAGAAACAATAAAATTAGAAATTTTATATTATTTTAAAAAAATAGTTGATGTAAATTAGATATTTAAAAAAATATTTTTGCATATTTGTTTCTAATATATCCGATCAATCCAACCTAAACCAATTCAAATATTTTTGATTGATTTGGGCATTAGATTCTCTTGAAACCAAACCAAACCGGTCTGCGAACACCTCTATCTTAATGTGTCTTGGATTTTTATTTATAAACTAATAACAAACTCGTGTGTACCCATGTGCCTGATTGTTTGAAGAGTTTCGGTTATGGATGCGTAGTTGTTAATCATATAAAAAATAAGAGTGCTATGATTAAGACATACTCCCTTCATTTTCTTTTATAAGTAAATTTTGACTTCTTAGGTTCATTAAATAAATGATGTATTTGAATTATATATAGGTTAGATGCATTACCTAATTAATGAATCTAAAATTTCAAACTATACTTATAAATAAAAATCAAAGGAGTAAGTGAGAAAATCAAACATTATTATAATTGAGAATTTAGTTATGTTTAAAAAATAAATGTAAACATAAAATGTGAAGTCATTAAACTAAAGTGAACAGAAAATCATAAAGTAGTTTAATTAAATAAATACAATTTGATGAAATTTTTTTACAGAATAATATTGAAATAAAAATGAATAAATAAATAACGTCATGAATTGAGATAGAATTTAAATAGATATGTTAAAAAGAATGTTAGAGAGTAAGTTAGCTTAGTTAAACAAAATATGGAAATCGTGACATTTTTTTTAAAATTATTGAGTATCCACTGTTAAAAAAATTTGAAATAAAAAAAAAGTAAAAAGTAGTAGAAATATATAATAATTGAAAATTAATATTAGAAAAAGAAAATTTAAAATTTAGTAGATCTTGGTGTAGGACAAATGATAAAAAGACATTTATTAGGAAATACTCAACATTTAAAAAATTGAGTTGGTTTTTTTAGTATAGAATGGGCCCAAATGTAATAAGTATAAGTAAAATTAGGGTTTAGTTAGAAGCCACATTCTCCACTTTGTTAAATGTAGTCAGAAAGATAAGCAACATCCAAAAACGGTTTCTCCTAATCTCAACACCATTTCAAGCGGGTAAGGAAAAATAAGGTGTATGATGTTTTAAAATAGAGTGAAAGAAGCAAATATAAATTTCATTCCATTTCGAACAGAACTGATTATAAGAGATTGAAGAAATCTAATGTATTTTTTTTGTTTTTGCTGCAGATCTTCATCTGATTTCGAAAGAAACAAAGAGTGGATCCAGCAGAAGCTAGATTCATTTAGGCATAAGCAAAATATGCAAATATGGATGATACCGCGTATGCAAGAATGAAGAAGTCGGGAAAAGAAAAAGGGGTTGCAGGAAAGGCATCAAAGTATGCAGGAAGCTCCATGAAAAAGACCGAAATAGTAAAACAGCTTGCAGTAATGGAAAAAGGAAAACGGGTTGCAGAAAAATCATTGAAGGATACAAGAAGCTCCGTGAAGAAGACCGAAAAAGAAAAATGACTTGCAGTAAAGGCATCAAAGGATGCGGGAAATTGAAAAGCCAAGTAAGTGGAAGAATGTTCGGACATTGTTGAAGTTATCGCAAAATGCAGAAAGAGGTAAATAAACTCTTTTGTTGTTGTTGCATGTGCAATATTTATTTATTTTTTTGTTGTAGAGTGTTGTGTATGTTTTAAACATTTGGGCTATATTCATATAAATGATAACGAAGCATATATATGTCACTTTAAATGGTTTACGGAATTTTTAGAAATTATTGATTAATTTGCATGTATGGTTGGTGGGTTCGAAATGAAGTGTTAGTTTTATAACTTTTTGTAATAACAAAGAAGGCAAAATGTGTAGTGGAAAAAAAGGCTTTTTAAGTCGGTTAAAAATGACTTTTTAAGTCGGGTCCGAGCCCGACCTAAGAATTACCGACATAAGAAGTTTTGACTTCTTAAGTCGGTTGTGGACCTGACTTAACAAACTATTATTAGGTCGGTTAGACAGAACCCGACTTAATAAGTCTAGCCTGCATAAACCATTTATACCCGACCTAAGAACTTACTTTCTTAAATTAGGTATAATTAACCGACCTAAGAAGTTGTTTTTTTTTGTAATAACACTTTTTTTAATATATATATATATATATATATATATATATATATATATATATATATATATATATATATATATATATATATATATATATATATATATATATATATATATATATATATATATATATATATATATATATATATATATATATATATATATATATATATATATATATATATATATATATATATATATATATATATATATATTAAAGAATCAGTTAACAATTAAAATATTTTAAAGATTGGAAGGTTGGAAGTTCATAACAATGTAAAGCCAGTATTGCTAATTTTGGTTTATTAACATAAGAAGAAACAAATCACAATTAACAGAAAACCACTATCTTGGCCCTGATATTTGTTGTGAAGATATGTAAGAAAACCCACTAACCAACCCTATTAAGTCACGTGGCTGCTGAACCCTCACAGGACCATGTTCATTTTCTTCAACTACAACAAAAGCCTCAGAAAACCTTTGACCATAGAATCTCAAGAAATTCAAACACTCCATCCTAGGTTGTGGCAATGGTGTTCCACCTTCCAACATTCCTACAACAGTAACCATGTTTGGTCTAAGTGTTGGATCTTCATGAATACAACACAATGCAATACGAACAAGTTTCTCAACTTCATCAAATGTAACACGTCCTTCTAGTCTTGGATTGGCTAAATCCATGTAACTCTTTTGTTGGTGCATCTCTAATGCGAATAGTGGAAAATAAACAAGTTCCGTCGTTGACGAGTTTGAAGAATTTCCATTGTTTCCACTGCTGTTGTTGTGTTCATCATCCATGCTGTGAGTTTTGGATCTGAATGAACAGTTTTTTCTACCACTGATCAGTTCAAGAAACACCATTCCGTAACTGTATACATCAGTTTTTTCAGATATTGCTGAGTTTGTTAGCCATTTCGGAGTAAGATAACCGCGAGTTCCTCGCATTGTTGTGAATAAACCAGATTGTTCAGGACTGAGAAGCTTCGAAAGATCGAAATCAGATATATTAGCTTGAAATTGATCATGCAGAAGAATATTCTCTGGTTTGATATCACAGTGAATTATCTTTTTCTCACATCCGCTATGAAGATAAGCGAGTCCGCGCGCTGTTCCAAGTGCAACGTCTAATCTCTCTTGCCATTCCAAAACCGGCTGTCCAGCACTTCCGAAGAGGTTCCGGTCGAGTGAACCGCGGTTCATGTACTCGTAGACCAACATTCGGTGTCCTCGTTGAGCACAAAAGACCTACATTTGAACAAACAATGAAGATTCAGTAACTATGGTGCTTGGTATATCTCGCGGTAATCACCTACATTTGAACAAACAATGAAGATTCAGTAACTGCTGACGGCAGACGATATCAGAATGCCAAATACACTTTTATTATCACTATCATTTTGCTGAATGGATCCGTTTCCATTTGTACCGAGCTCTTGTGGCACTTTAGTCTTTTTCCTTTGTTTTATATGCACAAGAGAGGGCAAAAGAGTATCCTGGATATCCTGCAACAACAAAGACCCAACATAAGAAATATATTCCTTACTTCAAACAAATTTCAATCGATTGCCGCATAGGTAATTTACATAGTAAGATATGTCTTTCTCGAGCTGCAACTCACAACACTGCAGGTGCTTTAACTAATCTAAATCTGTTACTTGATGGAAAAGTCATAAATTTGATTCCTGATATCGTGATCAAATCGTTTTTAATAAGTCATTCAAAAGATGTTAACAAAAATACTAAACTAAGGATATGATCATAGGATAGAAGAGTGAAATAGATTAAATAGTGCAAAAGGATATGATCATATGATCATAGGATAGAAGTGTGAAATAGATAAATAATGCAAAAGGATCATTATGCCATGTTACATGTATTTCTCTACCCTATCATAAATGCTGAAGAAGACTAACAAAAGAAATCTAAGTTGTAAGAATCTCAGCCCATGGAATCAATCACGGTGCCTTTAGAGCTCAAACCATGGTTATGTTGCATCAATTGCAGAAACTTTTACTATCATTTTCATTAATACATTTTTGTTGTGTCATTGTAATTATTTAAGTTTGCCGAATAATTGAAGTTATAGTAACGTTTATAATATTTGCACATAAAAGGAAAAGGTACACCAAGAAACAATACAATTATAAAATCAGTTTTTAGTTCCACAATGAATCAGAAGTAAACAACTTTCTGAAAAACTCAAGTCATTTGCATGCATTCTTTTCAGACAATCCTCTCCAACTCCCTAGCATAACTAAGTGTTTGGTTGATGAGTTGCAGAGATGGTATTTCTTTGCAAGGTGCAGATTCTTTTGCCTTTTGAAAGAATACGGAACCGTTCTTAATAATTTTATAACCAACATCATGAGACGAGATTTATGCGCATCAAAGAAAGCACAAGAGCAAAGAATATTGTAAACGTGAAACATATAAGATAAGATTGTGTAGTGCTTAGTCGAGATTAATGTTTCCTCCCACTCATGCTCTCACTAGATATGCTAAGGGTCATGATAATTCTCACCTCATTGATATACTCCAAGAGTTCCTGGTCTTTGGAGAACAACAACATTTGCTTAGCATCATTAATTGAAAGATAGTCATATGCCTTCTAACTACATCCTGCTATCTCATCTCTGGATGTTATATAGAACAATGCAGACCAATCAGAAAACTGATCTAGATATGCAAAAAAATGAAAAATAGCATATAGCCAAGGTGTGGTAGCCGGTAAGAAATAATGATAACAACTTTTACCTGATGGTCTTTGCCAGAAGATCCATGAAATAAACATATGTTTCATGTGGCATTGTCTGCCGAGCACTCAAGACACGGTTGTAATCCCCTTCCATAAAAGATTGCTCCAACTCCACAGCATGCTTAATACAAGGATTCTCTAGAGCAGTGGATGAAAGTAATTCCAACTCGGTATGGAATTCAGCAATCCTATTTTGCACAAGTAGTCTCAACAGGTTGAGACCAAGTATTGGGTACTCCTGTGGAGGCTGTGGAAGACAATTACTACAATACATGAAAAACCTCCATAAGTTATAATAGTTCAACAAGAAAGCAGATGAGTTGGAAATAGATTCCACATTTTGATATCAATACTACACTTACGTTTCATGGCATATACTCAAACGTGAATGTTAAGAGATCAGGAAATATATATTGTTTTGATGAGATTATAAACTTATAGTATGCACTTGTAAATAAAGGGGAAAGAATCAATTACCGGGCATCAGTATAATAAGGTTTCAACTGGAAGAAATCCCTTTCAAAGGCATCTTGATCCTCAATTTTTACACTAAGGACAACAACATGCTCGTATATATTCCCTGAAAATTCCAATAACCAACATGAAAAGATAAACACATTTCAGACAAAGATCTAATAGCTAGGAACTGTTTCTTCATTATTTTATAAGTTATTATCTTATTCATTCTAATAAATATGACTCAGTGACGGGGAGAAAAGTTTTAGTATTTTATGTTGTGTAATTGATATGGAAAATGGCTTATCATTTTATTTCATTGAAGCATCTAACACTTTCCAATTATAGAAATTAAAAAATAAAACTATTATTCTTTTTTATCTCTCCTAATATATGGTATTAGCCGTGCAGTAAGACAAATGCTAACTTGTAAGTCCACGGTAGCCAGATCGAAAAGTTATCTATCTTCTTACTTCATGGTTTGAAGAGCAAAACAAGATCCACATCCAACCAAGACAGCTAACATGGAAAAGTAATTCCAATTTATATCACAAAGAGCTCATAGACAAGCTAGTCTATTTAAATTTGATTTACAATATCAAACTAACTTAAGATTTACTGAAATGATATTTGATCAACAGTGGATCTTCTATAAATTACAAAAGAATGGGTTAGAAAAGAATGCAGGAGCATGAACAGAGAAAAATGGAAGAAAAAGAACACAACAAATGATTGGAATGAAGACCATTACTTGCTATAGTTAACTCCTGAACCACATTAGGTGTATCTGCAAACAAGGGTGGAAGGCTTTTGAACCCTGTTAGTAAAACCTGCAAGTGAAAAATGTCGCTCAAAAGTTATGGTACTAAACTAAAGACTATGAGCCCGTCTGGACAAAATTCTGAACAAATGGATGTGGAAAAAGAAATGTCAAAATTTTTTATGATACCTAAGAGTTTTTTAAACAACAATATCTCGTATAAGTTGTAATTAACTACCGCATCACAATTTTTTTTCAAAATCTCTCATTTACCCTATAATACCACTGTGACTTTAAAATGATTTTACACAGATAACCAATCAACGGTTTTTTATTAGACGACTCTCAGTGCAGGTCCATTAAACACTAAATCAAACTATGAATTAAAGTTCAAGCTGCTTAGAAGCATTCGAAACAACCAAAAAATCAGAAGCTAAATCTAAATCTAACGATATGTTTAAGGAAAAAAACCTCGGTTGCAAGGATGCTGATGGTTGTATCCTTTACATCCCTAAGCAAGTGTTCCACTTCTGCACAAGGATAAGAAGAATTCATAAAACAAAATCTTCAGTCAGTGTCTAAATGGATAAAATTCAAAAGTCTAAAGAAAAACAAACCAAAATGAATCATAGCAGTTTTACATTAAATGCTATACCTATTTCCTCAACCTCATGAGCAGCTATCTCTGATTGCACATGCACAAAGACCTTTTGGCTTTTCTGAGTAGCATTATGCATTCAGGATAAACTATTTATCAGTTCCCATGTCTAGCGATTAAGCTTCAAGCAAATATTAGTTCTTCTCCCCACCGTCTTATATCAATGCGGCAATCGATTGAAAATTGAACAACCATTGGCAGTTACATCATGATTGAAAATTGAACCTCTCCCATTGAAGCCAAACTCGCCGCCGCAACCTTATTAACCATCGGCGAAGCCTTCCTATCCTTCACTCTCCGGTGACAAAACCACATCTGCAACTGACGATCAGACAAACCCAACTTCACAGATAACTCAACCCTTAACGCCTCAGATGGATAAAGCTCGGCTGAACCAAAAACACAAAAATGAACATTTCAACCCAAATTCAACTTCAAGTCAAAGAAATGCACAAAAAAATACCTAAAATTTTACTCACTTACCAGCATATGCTTTTTCCAAAATCTCCAACTGTGAAGCAGACTTCATTTTGCGCTTGACCTCGTTCTCCTCCTCCAATAGCTTTTTCTCCTCTCCTCCTGAATAATCATCCATAGCTGAAGCTAAAGCTCACATTCACTCAAACCCTAACAAATTGAACCGTACAGAACAAAAACCCTTGCTCCCGAAAACTCCAAACCCACACTCAGAAACAATCCAGAAACCAAAAACACACAAAGAAGAAGAAAATAATCCCAGAGTAGCTAGAAGCGTGAATTTGGAGTTTATCTCTCTAACATTTGAGCTAGAGCAACTCTCACTCTCTCTCAAAACTGGAACTGAAGGGATGTGATTGAGATGTGTGGTTAGGCTTGGGATTAGGAGAAGGTCACAAATCAAATGAATTTTAGGGTTCCGTTGACAGGTTTGGAGAAGGTTTTGGAGAATAAGAAGTTCATTTGTTGAATGAAATGTTTGTTGTGAAGAAGAAGAGTTTATAGTGAGAGAAGGGTTTGAATAAAACTTATTAGGTCAGGTGGGCAATACCTGACTTAATAAATATATTTTTTAAGTCAGTAAGTGAACACAGGCGACTTAAGAAATTTAATACGAATTATATATATATATATATATATATATATATATATATATATATATATATATATATATATATATATATATATATATATATATATATATATATATATATATATATATATATATATATATATATATATATATATATATATATATATATATATATATATATATATATATATATATATATATATATATATATATATATATATATATATATATATATATATATATTTTTTTTTTTTAATTTTTTTTAAGTCAGTTCTAAATGTAATTGACCTAACAATGTTATAAATATTTACGTAATTGCCAACGCATCACTTCTTAAGTCAGGTGGCAGGTGAACTGACTTAACAACCTCTACTATAAAGTGTTTTTTCTACTAGTGGTGTAATCAATCTTTTTGGGTGTTAAAAGAGGTATGAGTGAAGTTGGAAATTTTATTTGATTGAACATATGTTGTGTATATATAATATTTAACTGGCGCGAATCAAATTCTTTTTAATGATGAAATAAGTGATCGATATCTTATTGTGCAGAGGATTATACTCATTTCTTGGTGGTGGTTACACAAGGACCATAAACATAATTTTAGATGTAGTTATTATGAATGGTGTAAATTTCCTTGGATATTCGTATAGTTTTAGGCCTGTGTGGTATTAGTCTGTCCTTTGGCTAATCTTTACATGTTGATTGTATATGGGTTGAGATACCCCTAGTATCACTATTGGAATTATTTTTTCTTATAAAAAAAGAATAATATATTTAACTTCAAGAAAAAATTAAACATCATTTGCGATATTCACAACCAATATAAAGAAACAATAAAATTAGAAATTTTATATTATTTAAAAAAAATAGTTGATGTAAATTAGATATTTAAAAAAATAATTTTGCATATTTGTTTCTAATATATCTGATCAATCCAACCCAAACCAATTCAAATATTTTTGATTGATTTGAGCATTAGATTCTCTTGAAACCAAACCAAACCGGTCCGCGAACACCTATATCTCAATGTGTCTTGGATTTTTATTTATAAACTAATAACAAACTCGTGTGTACCCATGTGCCTGATTGTTTGAGGAGTTTCGGTTATGGATGCGTAATTGTCAATCATATAAAAAAATAAGAGTGCTATGATTAAGACATACTCCCTCCATTTTCTTTTATAAGTAAATTTTGACTTCTTAGGTTCATTAAATAAATGATGTATTTGAATTATATATAGGTTAGATGCATTACCTAATTAATGAATCTAAAATGTCAAAATATACTTATAAATAAAAATCGAAGGAGTAAGTGAGAAAATCAAACATTATTATAATTGAGAATTTAGTTATGTTTAAAAAATAAATGTAAACATAAAATGTGAAGTCATTGAACTAAAGTGAACAGAAAATCATAAAGTAGTTTAATTAAATAAATAAAATTTGATGAAATTTTTTAACAGAATAATATTGAAATAAAAATGAATAAATAAATAATGTCATGAATTGAGATAGAATTTAAATAGATATGTTAAAAGGAATGTTAGAGAGTAAGTTAGATTAGTTAAACAAAATATGGAAATCGTGACATTTTTTTTTAAAATTATTGAGTATCCACTGTTAAAAAAATTTGAAATAAAAAAAAAAGTAAAAAATAGTAGAAATATATAATAATTGAAAATTAATATTAGAAAAAGAAAATTTTAAATTTAGTAGATCTTGGTGTAGGACAAATGATAAAAAAACATTTATTAGGAAATACTCAACATTTAAAAAATTGAGTTGGTTTTTTTTAGTATAGAATGGGCCCAAATGTAATAAGTATAAGTAAAATTAGGGTTTAGTTAGAAGCCATATTCTTCACTTTGTTAA